GAGAGCTCCATTACTGAATGGTTTCATGACCAAAAATATAAAGAAATTATTTGAGATAAAGGGCAGATGTTTTTCAGTCTGGATTTGGTTCTGTTTTCACTGAACTCAATGGGATAGAAGTTGAGGTTCTTTGTCTAGCTGAGGAATCTGCCAATCAAACCATCACATCATAAAAAAAAAAACCACAACCCAGACAGTTTTCATATTGGAAACATCCTTATCTTAGATACTTCTATTTTGTGGTTACACTTCCTTCCCACTTACTATTCAATAATCTAACTTTGCATTTATTTTCATGATTTTTCAATTCCATTCAATATTTACTAATTAAACATACTCTGTGTAGGTTTCAGCAATCAAGAGATGATGAACTAGGTAATGAGAAAGCTCATCTTACAAAAGTTTCAAATCTGGCTTTACAATTTCTTCCTCTGTGTTAATTTGTCAAGGAACTGTTTTTGAACAAAGACTGGCTAAAGCAAAGTGTAAAACTGTTTCTTACTCCGGCTAAATACTGTGAATGAGTATAGAAAACAAACATCTTGACATTTTGACAGAAAGCTCAGTGAAATCAATGTCGATATGTATTTACTTTTTGGTTCTTTATGTTGCAGTAATATTGGAACAAGGCATTTGGCCTTCATTGTGAAAATATTCAAATTCTTATCCACCACTGTTGTTGTTCTGAGTTACATCAGGCATCCTGGAAAGACAGGGTAGACTGTATGGACAGTCAGGCTGCATCAGCAGCACAAGAGACATGTAGCAACCCTTCCTTCTTAGCTTTGTCACAGGGTTAGGGAGACAGCAAGATTCTGTCTTCTGCATAGCCAGGAGCCCTCAAATGTAATGAATTAAGGAAGGGTAAGAATTTCTTTTTACATGTGTGAGAGTATTTATTTATATATCTATATAGGGAAACCACAACACTATATATATAGGCACAGATATGTATTAAAAGGCCCCCAAAGGACCTGCACATTTACTGAATTATACAAGTTACAATTACAGTAAAATCTATGGTATATATTTATTATTAATATCCAAAGCAAAGCAAACTGTGATTGTAGTACAATATTAACAGGAAATGTCCAGGCTATTAGTTATTGAAACATATATGCCTGAGCTACTGCCTGGGAATTCTTAATATATCCAGCTGAGTTCTGGTGTAAGTAATGTTTCTTCCACCCAAAAGGCATCTCCCTTTAAGCTCTTTTCTGGTGCATTATCTAGTTAATTTGTATCAGGAATGATTCCTCCTCTTTTGAAAGAACCAGAGTATCACAGCAATCTAATTAGTAGGCAAATATTCAGAAGAGAGTTAAAAACACAGCACTGGAACTGGAGAGTTAGCTTATTAAAAAGCTCTCCTTGAGTGGGCCAGAGCACATTCACACATACATACACACACAAAAAATTCTGGGGACCAGCCCAAGATGTAGGCATTATGCTGAGTATTTTAAGGAGACAAATCCTAATGTTAGCCACTCTTGCTAGTATAGCCAGATTTTTCTAAGCAAAGCTCCTTCCTAGATAAAAACTGTGCCTTAAGTTATGGGAAAAGTATTAAATGCCCTATTTGGGAGAGGCTGAGGAGAACACAGTGGATTTTACAGTAACCTGCTCAACAGTATGAAACTTGCAGAGGAGGCAGCGATGGTCAAATGTTACATGGAGCTTTCAGGGTTTCAGTGCAAGTTCCTGTGCTGCAGCAAGTTCCTGGGATATGGGCTGCCCAGAGCTGTTTGCTGGGCTGCAGTGGTGTGGTAGCAGTGCCAGTGGGAGCAGGGAGCTGGTAGCTTGGCCTGGAGCAGGGCCCCTCACAGCTCCCCACCTCTCCTGCCTTGCCTGGGTAATCTCACCTGCTCTTAACAAGGCATTTCAAAAGCGTCCAGGCATAAATGCTATCACAACTGGAGCTCACACACAGGAAAAATGGGAATGCAAGATAATGTGAATGGGAGAAGCACTGCTTTAAAAATAACAAGAAAAACTGTTACATTCTTCTCAGATTGTTAAGATTTCAGTAGCCTCTGGGAGTAGTTAAATCGGGTAGGGAAGCTGGGATTTTCAGTATTCCCACAGCTGGACACCTTAAGTGTACCATTTTTGTTTGACATGCAATATATTTGCATAGAATTAAAAAATGCGATTACTGGACCATCCCAACAAAGCACTCGACCGAGAGCAGCCCAGCAGGCCCCGATGGGAGGCTCCTTTCCCAGCAGTAGCCAGGACAAGACATTTCAAGAAAAGACAGAGGAAACCCAACACAGGCAGTTGCAGAGTTCTCGCTCACCAAAAGTATTTTTCTCCCTCATTCAGAGTGGTTTCTGGCTCATACAGGCCTTGGAGTGTTTAGTACATCTTTTGTTTCTCTTTTAAATGTGTGTGTGGTCATTATCCATATAAATGTCAGTATCATGATGTTTTTTGCTATTATCTTTCCAATGAAAACAACAGCAATCTTTTAAATCTCCTTTCAGATAGAAGCATTTCCAGGCTGCTAATAGCATTCTGGCATGTTGAGGACAATGTCTCCATGCATGCCATTTGAAGGGGCTGGTGACCATTTTGTAATTTGTGGTTGTGTTTTGCCAGCACTTCTTGCAGCCTTGGAAGAGCTGGTGGCAAAGGCTTTTCTGCAGGTCCCAGCAGATAATGGCATCTCCATGCAATAGGTGACCACAGACAGGCATTTGAGACCAGTTGCAGAAGATGTAACTTGTAGCTGGGCTGATCAACAGCTCATTTGTATTAAATTGTTTCTCTACGGAGACCTTTGAGGAAAAACTGCAGCCACATGGGAGCTGACCTTAGCGTTTAGCTGCTCCTTGGCAAACACATTCCCTTATTTCCCCCAGAGCATCCGCTCTTCAGCACTTCAGACTCCAGAGAGCAGTTTCGGTCTGTGACCTGAAGAGGGCACAGGTGGCCCCTGCACTCCCTGCACCCACATGGATCCGTGTCCCCTTTTTACCGCCGCTGCAGCCCCAGGCCTTGACCCTCGGGTAGGGACAGGGCCATCCCAGCTCGGTTGTTGAGCTCTTTTTGGTAGGCACTTAAATCAAAACACAGGTAAGGTTTGGGGTTTTTTTAATTTCCGTGTGGGCTCTTAAAATTCTACTTTAGTCCTCTTTATTTTACAATGGCTGATCATCACTTAAGGGGGCAGTGTAACCTTTCTCGTGAAAAAGTTGTTTTCCAGTTTTCTCATATATGGCTGGAGAATACCCTTGCCTTCACCCATTTAACAGTACTGGTTTATTTCTTCAGTTTAGCTGGGGGTTATTCAGAGTCTCTGTGGTTTGTATTATATGATCCTATATGCCTTATTTTCCTGCTTGGGGAGATGGAATTATTGCAGCATAGGATGGGCTTTGACTGGTTGATTTATTTAAGCCCCTTCTAATAGAGTGTCACTGTGACAGCTTTTGGCAGTGTTCCTCTGTGCCTCGTGTTAAATCTGATTAAGCTGTTGTCACCATTAATTCACAGTTCATCTATATTTACCTCTTGAATGCTCCCATGCAGTGCTTAGCCCTAAGCATACCCTTGCTCCCCAAATTTAATCTGAATTGCTCCAAAAAAGTAATGTAAACTGGTGGTTGCTATTGCAAATCATGGTTTATGGTGTTTGAACAGCTCGTGCAGTGGTAGAGGGACACACCAGTGACAGATTTAATTGTTTTAGTTCATTCTTGGTATGCCTGCAATGGCTTTTGCTTAATTTTTTTTTTTCCAGCTAGGTGACATACATTATTACCTACAAAGGGATCTTTATTTCTGCGCCTCAGGACCTGTAGCTGTGAAGTTTTAGCAGGGTGGTTCTCCAGCAGATAAGTGGATTTTTTAGCATCTGAAGGTTCTCGTGCTGCCCAAAGAGCTGCTTCTTAATTTTAGCAAAACCTCCAGCGGCAGCAGAGTATATGGTGAACATATGGTCCATGCAGCCTGCACGTTGGGCAGTGTAACACTGGGCTGTGGAGCAAAAAGGCCATTTGGCACAGCTACCATAGGAGGGTAAAAGATCCAGCTTATACCTAACTTACTCATTTAAAGGGATAGTTTAATGCAGCTCTACAAGAGGCTTGTACATGAGTGGCCAGGTTTTTGGTCCCTTCTTCTGCACCATGCCGTCTTTCTGGCTGTAAATGACCAAAAGACAGTTCTCTGGTCAAAGGCCAGCAGCTGTACCCTCCTTGGTGGGACGGTTGTGTCATGGCAGGAGGAAGCACTGAAGCTTCTCTGCTCCACTGGTGGCAAGAGGATACCCAGGGCCTTCATGGAAGTGGGTTAGCAAAGCTCTTCTGGCTCCTGTTGGAGTTTTGGGACAGGGTTGGTTCCCCAGGCAGGACTACCCCTGTGCTCCTGTGCTGGCCCAAATCCCAGACACCTGGGGGAAATTTTCCATCCCTCAGGTACAATCACTCCTCAGTCTTCCACTAAGCAGGGCAGCCACAGGCAAACAAACACTCAGGCTTTTTCTTTGAAAGGATGGTACCATCTGCCCCAGCTAAACTTGTATTTCCAAGACTAAAAAAATCCTACATGAGGAATAACTGAAACTAATGCTTTTCTTTGTCTTGGCTGAAACTTGGGTGTAAAGCTTTACCTCTTTACAGCTATGAAGGCACTTAAACCATTTACTTGAATTTACTCACTTTAACTACGTTATCCATGTCTTTTCTGGACACGTATCTCAGCTCACAAAATTATAAATTAAAACTGAGATATGTCTGAATTCCTCACCGAGGAGTGGTGTCATTTTTATCCATCATTATGGCTAGAACAGGAACAGAAAGCTTACCTAATTCCCTTACTTCCTTGTGAATACCTAAAAGCAGAACTGAATTATAATATTTTTTTTACAATATATTATGTATCTGCAAAATAAACTTTTCTGTAGTTTGGCTGTCATGAATATAGGGCCAACGGTATTTCATTTTCCCATATTGTGATGTGATATGTGAAGGTTTTTTTGTATTTTCTTTTTCTAGGCTTGCTCCCAACATCATCTCTCCACTTGTCAGCCCCCTGAAAGCATTAGTTCCACCTTCCCTACTGCAGAAACACAGCTCTCCATCCTCACACAGCCAGTCACCAACGGGGCAGCAATTTTCTGGAATATCAAATAAACCATACGCTCAATTTCAAAACCAGTCTGTACAGCAGGGATCTCAAGGTAACTCTTCCTGCCTTTTTTTTTTTTTTTTTTTTTTTTAACTTTCCTAATTCCTCTTTGGGAGAAATAATTTATGCCTGGTTTTGAATTTTCAGCCAGTACTGTCTTACTAAGGGACTGACAGCATTTCAGTGGGAATTCCAATTTTTAAAGTGGCTTGATACACATGCAGAGCAAAATTTTTACACCAGTTCATGCTATGATACAGTATCATAATGAGGAAACCTGTCACAACAGCAGATTTTTGCATTTATTCAGTTTTTCTGGGACATGTTTTCTAAAAGGTTCTGACAAGAATGAATTATGCACCCAAAAAACTTCAAACAATTTCTTCATTTAATGCTGAAGTGAAATATTTAGCTCAGAGTCACTCCTTGGTTGTCACTAAAGGATTGCTCATACCACATGGTAGATGGGTATGAGCTCTGCATCTCCCCTGGCTGGTCATCCAACCTCCCAGCAACTTGGAGTAACCCTGCCAAAGCAAGAGCCATCCAGTCCTAAAATACATGGGCTGAAGCTCACCTGGGCAATGTACTGCTCAGTCTACTGATGGTGATGTACTAGACATGAGCTTAGACAAAGAAAAACTACTATTTATTATTTGGATGTTCAGCATCTGTATAATTTTATATAAGAAAATGCAAAGGCACTCTGTACAAGTACGGAGTGCCACTGTGATTTGAAGAGGAGATTGGGAGCAGCTAAGCAGCTGTCCCACTGCTTAATTTAAAACATTTTTTGTACTGAATTATCCAGCCTTTTAAATCGGGAACTTATTTACCTATTCTGGAGTGCTGCTGTGGGAACTAATTAATGTTTCTGCAATTTTTCAGGTATAAATTAGCAAGAGATATTATTGTAACAGAGTCTTCCAGTAACAGGACCTTGCATATTTAAGAAATATGTTATATAATCCAGATGGTATGCTGCTTAAGTGTGGTAAATATTCACTATAAAGAAGTGTGCAGGACAGCTGTCTGGTTGCAAGTATAACCAAGCGTGTCAGTTTATACAGGCAGATAACCAGCTTTTTGAAACTCATTTCACAGCTGTACTGTCATTTATATAAGGTCATTTTTGGCTGGCAAAGTATCACATGTGATCCATTTACCAGTGGGCAAAATAGGAGTTTTGCTTTCTTTCAGTAAGGCAAGGCAAGGAAAGGCAAGTAAGGCAAGGTCGGAAACACAGGAGCTGAACACAAACCAGTGAGCAATTCCCAGGGGTAATGGGGTTCAGTATCCCAGCAGTTGCCTCTGCCCCTTGTTTGTCCTGAGGAATATTTTTGTTCTTTGGTTGGCCTGACTTAGTCTGAAAAGTTAAAAGTGTATTATATTAAATGATTTGTGCTGAAGGAAAAACTAACTCAACCTGATGCTCAACAGATTATTCAATTTAAAGAGATTAACTCTGTAAGGGGAAAGTGGCAGATTTATGATAGCATATAATGATATATGATTATGTTCCTATAATGAGCTAAATAACTACAAACCACAAGAGGAAAGTTTAGCAGCTCATTACTATGGCAGAAACAAATGCATAGACAGAACAAGTTTTGAACCACTTAAATAAATTGACTTTATTCCTTAAGAAAACCACATTTCCTTTTGAATGAATTGTTGCTTTCTAAGTGTTATGTTGTGTGGTTTTGAAAAAGCAGTAATTTTCCACTTTGGCCAAATGTTGAAGTATTATTATAAATTCATTATGGAAATGGTCATTCAAAATCCATTTTGATTAGCAGCCTTTGAAATCACTTGATCTGTAACCTGTACTTTGCTGTACTTGCTCTACTTTTTTTTTTTTTGCATCTCAGTTCATTAATAGTGCATTTTTCTAATGGAATTTTTTTTGAAGAAAGGAACACTATATAGTCTAGCTGTAGAACTAGTCATCTGTATAGGAGCATTTAAACTTTCTGGATCTGAAATTTTTAGAAGCCAGCCAGCTTCATCAGGCTGGTAGCAGAAATATTGATAATGAAAGAATAAGCTGACATTATTTATATGTTTAAAGCTAGCTGTACTAAGATCACATGGAAATTATTACATGCTGAAAGAATTTGGCAGGCAATGGCATCCTGTGGTTATTTATACCTGACATGATTTCTTGTCAGAAATTTTATGGAATTTGAAAAGCTGAGATTTATTTGCACATACATGTAAATGACATGACATAACAAGATGGCATTTAATAGGCATATTCCAATTATTTGCTCATTACATCATTCATTTTAAAGCTGCTTGAAGTTTTCTAGGCTGTTTCTAAGAGAAACAGAGGCAGTCAGGGCACTGTGAGGTGGCTAACTGCAGCTTTTCTGTCACAAATGATTTCAAAGCGAGATTTTAACTAAATGTTATGTTTGGAACTTGGTTTATTCCTTTATTAACTGTTATATTTCTATGTCGACTGTACATAAAACATTTACTAGTGATCATTTAAACTGACAGGACATTCAGTAAATTCTTCACTTGAAAATTAACCTCAGAAAATTTTTGCTTTAAATCAAAACTGAATTTCCTGAAATTCATGTGGAAAAAAAAATATTGGTGAAACACTTATTGCCAAATTGGTACTACACTTTTGCTCTCCTAGAAGGAGCAGGGATGTTTGCACCAGACAAGCCTTTTTGCTTACTTCATATTTTAACCACTGAAGGGTTTTGTTTCCTCTAATCAACCATACGAGGCTGCCGATTGAACCATTGGTTATGGGATTTTAATGGTATCTTAATTCTTAGTACTTTCTGTGTAAAACATTTCAACAAAATCTAAAGGAACCAACAACTAAGTGAAATAAACCAAAAGCACCTTCGTTTCATACTGCACATTTTTTAAATGTATAAATGCAGTAAAGTCTGACTTGTATTGTATATGCAAATCAAACATTGTAGTGCTTGCTAGCAACAAGTTCCATTTCCTATGGTTGTGTAAGACAAATGAAACCTTATCTGTCAAGAGCACCTATTGCTACAAAAGTCCTTGTGGTTGCTTTAACTCAGGTGGAACTTTCCATCTCTTGTGTAATGACTGTTTTTCAGGAACACTTAGCATTTAAACTTGTCAAGTCTCCACCTCTTTCTGACTTTCTGCAGCTACGGTAGCTGTTGGGTGTCTCTGTCTTTCTCCTTCACCTTTCATCCTCAAGGAAGCATCTACCTGCCTTTTAGTCCACTCCTCCCACAGCCATCTCCATGCCTTTTCCACAGTCAGAGAATACCTCCCATAAAGCCTCTGCCCCTCCATTAGAGAGTCTCACTGTCTCACTGCTTCTATGAAGCTAATGAAAAAGGAATTAAGCTTTCACTTTACTGCTCAGGTCAGAAGGCTTAGAAGTCCCATTTTTAGTATCATGGTTTGTTCTACCTGACTGAGGTTCTTGCTGCAACTTTCCCCTTCCTCACTGTGTCTTTCCTCTTCAGTTTGTTTCCTGCATTTACCACGTCTGTAGACACATTAGAACAGGAATGACATCTTTCTTTCTATTTTCTCTGGGAAGCCCTTAGCAGAAATTTGGCCCTGGTGAATACAAGAGTGCAATAACACTGGTATTTTGTACATTGTAGCTCTTCATTGGATAGTTCCAGTAACACTTTTTGCGCTGCCCCTTCAGACAATCACACATTGATACTGAGGCACAGATGCTGCAATCCAAAGGAGAATTACATTGCTTCTCTTTCAGACTTCTGAATCTGAGGCAGTTCTCTGCCTCAGTTATTTTTTCCTGATCAGCTAGACAGTGTAACTTAAAACACTTCACATTAAACCCTTATCCATAGGTCTTGAGAAAACCTTGGATCAAACTAGTTTCAATCCAGTTCTGTCATGCTTGGCTGTTCTTTGATTTTCTAAGCCACTGTGCCAGCCCTGTAGATCATAAAGATATTTAATTGGTTTAACAAAGGCAAGCCTGGGAGCATGACAGAGGGGGAGTGATTACAGAGACAGAGAAAACACACGTCATGCCCTCCCCAGAAGTGATGTGTGTAGCAGACATTCTGGAAAAGGTTCAGGTTTTTTCTCTCACAATGCTTATAAGTTCTCTTTGCACCCAGTTATACCTGATCTGAAGCCAAGTGTCTTGGTTTTTTTCACTGCTTATCTCAAAAGGATATATTTTTAGAAGGCTTACAGCAAGGAGGTCATGTTTTGTAAACAAGAAAGTCAGAATAATTATCAAAAGCCAATCTATAAAGCACTGTACCTAAAACCACATCAAAAGATGGCTTTGCTGCCTCTCATAAGAGCTCTTAGGTTTTTTAAGTCAGACTTCCCAGGCAGTAAATAGAGGTGGCTGCCTATTTATTCCAAGGAAGGACATGCGGAATTTAATACTCAGCTTTCCAAGTTTCTGGGCCTTCTTCAACATAGTAGCAAGTGTGAACAGCTTTGGTACAGTGTGCACAGTGTCTTTATCTAATACAGCTATCCATTAGCTCTTCACCAGTCATGGATATCAACAGTTTAGGTATTTTGTGGTGGAGGATCATAGGTTCTCAAGAAGTGAATAATCTAATCCTTGCAGATTTTGCCAAAACACATATTAAACCGTGAAACTTCAGAGCAAATCTTTCACCACTTAATGAGTTCATTGCATTTCTACTGAAGAATTGCCTCATTTAGCCTTCTTTTTATTACCACCTTAGAAAAACATGACCAGAATGAACACACAGACCCTGAGCTTTGCCTGGTACTACCTACTTGGTCAAACTTGGGTAGTAAAGGGGAATGGTAGAAAAAGACAGGAGATCTTTCTAAACCAGAAAAAGCTTACTCACAGCATGACTTATAAGGGACGAATTCTACCCGGTACAGCACCCAGGTTCTCTGATGATAGGTACAGGTATTTCATTTCTAAACAAACCGGCTGAAAAGCTGGCCCAGCAAGTCAGTCTTCCACTGGTGAGTGGAACTGTGCTCAAGATCTGCTTGTATCTGTGGCTGACTGAACTACATGGAGCTTTTGCAGTGGTTCCTTTAGAAGTATTTCAGTCTGAAGAAGACTGAGGGAATAAATACTACAGCTCTGTATTTTTCTGGCAACTGGAGGAAAATCCTGATGGCACATGCTACTAAAGTTGAAGCCTGACTTGGTTGACTTCAGTTGCATTTAAGGGATGGAGCCTCATTTCAGAAGGGACTTTCAGAGAAGGTAGGAAAAAGCAATATGCAGTGTCCAATTAATGTGTGATGTACTTGGAATGAGTAGGAATTTATTGAGACAAGTGGAAGGAAGAGAATTAAACAGGCCATGGTTGATATAAATCTTGAGGCATGCTCCTTATGTGAGCAAATAAAAATTTCTTTCAGGATGTTGGCACAAAGTTGTAAGTTGTAAAATTAATTTCTCAGCAATTCATTCATCCTTCACTGTTAAGTGTTTTCTTTAATTGTGTACAACTGATTCACGGCTTCTGCTGGCAACACCCAAACTGCTGATACACTGATAATACTATATTGAAAAAAAGCAGGGGATAAGAAATGTGGGGTATGCCAGGGATGGAAGCCAAATATGCCCCAAAAGCAGAATGACCAAGGCAGCCAGAGACCATACAGCTTTATCTTGGCACTTTTCAGAAGCAAGAAGAGCCTTTAGCTGAATTCAAAGTCTTCTCCTGACATCCATTTGGAGTCAGTTCTGCACCTCTAGTTCAACTTTTACTTGCAGACTGTGGCCCCCTGAGTTACTGAAAGAGATTTCATTTGAAACATGGGCAGTCTGAGAAAGCAGAGGAACTCTTAAAGGTATTTTGAATAAATAGTGCTGTGCATAATGCACACTGGATGGGAAAGGACTTTGCTCAACTGAAACCAAAACAATGTTATTAATTTAAATATTGCATTTTTGTATTTAAATTAAAGGTAATTCATTATAGACACATTTTCTGAGGAGCTGAGCATCTTGGACCTGATCCAGTGGAGTACTTACTACTTAGCTTGGAACACAAATTGGGCTGTTGATTACACTCAGCTGATCTACTGCTCGAGATAAAGAACATCCTTGAGATTTTTGCCTGATAGGGATCACAATTCACAGCACCTTGTGGGACCAAGTCTGATGCAGCTTTTAGAAGGCAGCTTGTAGGTTATTATGCCTTATAGAATAGCATGATCATTTTTCCATAGTTAAAACTGAAGAACTAAACCCCCCCACAATAGTAATGAAATACTTTGACAGAAACAGAGCTAACAGTAGTGCTAAAATGTGTGTGCAATATCTGTTTTCAGGTTACCAAGGCAGCTTCCACTCTATACAAAACTGTTTCCACTATGGAGACTGCTACAGAACAATGGACCAGTCTGTCACCAGTGATGTGCTTGCAGGGGAATCCCATTGCTTCAACCCTCTGAGACAGAATGGCTATCACATACTCAATGCACCTTTAGCATCAACAGGTAATTTATTCTGCCTATAAAGAATTATCCATATGATATTTTTAGCAGGAGGAACACATTTTATAGTTAGTGTTATTGCAAAGACATGTTGGCATAAAGAACACAGTCACTGAAATTCATTTGCATCTATAAAAATCCCAGAAGGAAAGCAAATTTCTTTATTCCTCTGCATTTGACTGATGGACAAATTGTTCTCAGGCTTTGCTGGATGTTGTAGGAAACACAGACCTTCAGGTGAGCTGACAAACAAGACACTTCTCATATTGTGTCTCATGCTTGTGTGCTCAGGCAGACTTTTAGAATCAGATCAAAGTTAAGAAGATAGTTAACTCTGAAGCACAGAGCAGCAGGGACTTCCTGTCCATCTAAGAATAAGAGGATGGATTTGTGTTGCAATACTGATGTTTAAAAATGGAAAGGCACTGCTTTGATAAATTCAGCTAAAAATGTTAGTTCCTTTTTGCTGGGGAGTTCTTTGTGCTATTGCACATTCATGGCAATTATATTTTTCTGTTCAGCTACATATTTGCATAATATAAAATTTGCATCAAGTTATTATAGCTGGATTACTTTAATACTTCAGCATTTAAGCATGCATTCTTGTAAAGCATTTTTTCTACTTCTAAAACCACAATTAAGAATTGTCAGAATTTCTGAAAGCAAACAAAATGTGAGTACTGTCAGAGCCAGAAACACCACTATGTATTGCAAGCTTTACTTGCTTAACTCCAAGAAATATTTCTCCATGTCTGAATTCAGGAGGGCATCTGGGTTAAGGACAATACTGAAAACATATGTTAAAATGTTTTTTGAAATGTGGCCTGAGTCAGACCACAAAATTAGAGTTGACTTTCCTGTTTGTTTTGTATTAAAGGAGACTGTTTAGAGAGAGCATGCTTGCATTTGTTGTTCCATACTAGAAAGTGTATCCATCAGTAACAAACACAAGGGAGAAGTTGAAGTTTCAGCTTCAGCTTTGAATTCTTTTGTGTTATTCCTAAGTTTGATGTTACTAAAACATAGTTTTTCATGCTAACATCAAATTTCAAGTTTAGATTGACAACCTGTAACATTTAAAGAACAGACTAAATAAGCTTTCCAAAATAAATTGTAGGAGCAAAGAATAATTCTATGGCAAGACACCAACTTCAACAACCGTTGATTTTTCTGTCTGGGGCTAAACTATTATGAAATGTTTCTGTGTAATATTTTTGTTTTCAGAGTGGTTATGGAGGTATGCAAATACTTAAAAGGCAGAAACATAAGTATCTGAAATATATAAATCTTATCTCATCTTTTTGTGTGTAAAATAGAACCATTCAGGTTTGCAGGATTCATCAAGGCTATGCATTAATTTTTTTCAGGCTTTTATAGCACCATTAATATTAAATGAGATCTCATCTCACAGGAATG